TAACGTCGACCTAAACACAGTTTTTTATACGAATCAATTGCTAATGTCCACGTAATGCGTGTTCAGTAGAGAGAAAAATGGAAATACCGTGAGTTTCTGCGTTTTTCTACCGGAAAATTCTGTCACGTGTACTCTTTCGTTGTTTCTCTTTTTATTATTATTTTTATTATTATTATTATTATTATTATTGTTATTATTATTATTATTATTATTATTGTTATTATTATTATTATTATATTAAGATAATAATTAAGATTTGTTCATACGTATTATATGTTACATACAGATTGTATTTATATGTATAAGAAGTATGTTATATATACATAATTTATAGTAAAATAACTGAGACTCGATATAAATGGCTACAAATTTCATTTCCCCTTCGTTTCAACGATTTAACTTTACTCTGTCGAGTGTTCCTATAGAAATTCTGTTTTTACGATGATTTTTTAGAATTGCTTATTATGGTTTTTTCATCTATCGTTTTTATCTATTCTTGCTATAATTATATGCTAATGGAGAAAAAAATTAGAAAACACTCTCATTCAAAAATATCGATCCCTCGAATCTATATTTCTTGAACGTGTAAGTGATTTTTTTTTCTTCGTGTCAGTGCTTACAATTCTGCTTCATGAAATTCCATTGATGAAATTCCATTCTTGATATTTTCAATTATACTCGTATATTAACGAGACGAAAAATTTTATTACTCTGACGGAAAAGTATGGATTTGTATATCCTTATTCAGGAATTTTTTTCAAGTTAACGAAAATCTGTTCGTAACGAAATAATTAACGCCAGAATTATCAATGGGTAAAGCATAAAACTTGCATCAGAAAAATTCAAGTGTAAGAAAGCTTATTATAGAGTAAAGAAACATTTGTTGTTACATTTAATAGACGAATAATAGAAGAGGAACTCTCGTTTCACTTTTGATGCAGCAAGAAGTCTCGTAAAAAAAAAAAAAAAAAAAAGAAAGAAAAAAAGAATACACGTTTGTTCAGGACTAATTCACATCCGAGAATACTCTTTTACGATGAATCTCCTGTTCCTTTGGCCATTCATTCGCAATAGTCATCGCGTGCGTAATCATTACGTAAATGGCACTCGCGATC